ATTTGATAATTACACTCTAGAAATTTAAGAGAACATCTATTTTTCTTAGGAAATACGAAACAAAGTACTAAGAGATAAGAGGAAATCATGCATCATATTCATAAAATAAATAAAAATATGTATGAGGATGTGTGTGTATATATATATATATGTGCACGTGCAGAGGAAGAGAGAATAAATAAGATAAAGAGAATGTGTCAAATGTTAAAACTTGTTAAATCTTGATAAAGAATAAATGTGCATTAGGGCTTGGTGGCTCACACCTATAATTCCAGCTGTTTGGGAGGGTGATGCCTGAGGATAGCAAGTTCAAGAACAGTCTGGGCAACTTAGACTAAGGATAGAGTTTAGTGGTAGAGTGGCCTGGGTTTAACCCCCAGTACCACCCCCCCCAAAAAAAACCCACAAAAGAATATGTACATATGACATATATTAATTTTTTTTCAAAAATATCAAATAAGCAAAAACAAGAAAAGTAAAAAAGCTCTGGGTGATGTAAAGCCCAGGCCTTGATTTTAAGGTAGATGGCCAAGTAATCTGAGAAATAAGATATTATTGTCCTCATTTTACTGAGAAGAAATTGGGACTCATGTGTCTCAAGATCTGAGGCTGCCTAGAGAAGGGAAGGGAAGGGAGGGGAGAGGAGGGGAAAACCCAGATGAGAGAATGAGGCAAGTTTTTTACTTACCATCTTAATTTAGTCCCTTGGTAGTTGAGCTCACTGAAAGGAAAACAGCTCCCTCACACCATTTTCCCTTCTCCCATATCTGATGTAATGCTCTGTTCAGATCATTAGAACATTAATCGTCTCGTTAAGGTTCCATCCTGCTCAATTCAGTAATAAAAGCCATAGACATTGTCCTTTTATTCTCTTGACTTAGCCAATGAAAAAGAACCTAGTGTAAAATATCTACTCTTACCACACTTTTCCATAACCGTAATTTAAATGATATCTTTTTTTAATGATATCTTTTCATCCAAGTCTAACTTCAGCTTTAATAAGTAATGTTCTTGGTTTTCTCACACCCCTTGCACACAATTTTATGAGCTGGATAAAATTCCCTTACCAAGCTTTCCAGTCCAGGTAACGGGAGGATAATACTACACCAAGATTACTAGACTGAGCTAAAATAATATCTAGAGCTGTCTTATAAAACTTTTTAAAACATTCTTATAGTATATAGGCTCTAATCACCCATAGTCTCTTCTATTAGTTTTCTATTTCCCAGTAATTTCTACTGCTAACTTTGGTTTCTGAATCTGGTTAATCAATACCTCCAGAGTTTTTTATACTACAAAATGACGCACAGAGCAAGTTAGGGAAAACCCCAGGAAAAGTTGCAAAGTAGACAAGGTTTATGTTTACGATCCACCCCTCCTCTTCTCTCTCTCTCTCTCTCTCCCACCCTCTCCAACCAGCAATCTCACATCAGCCTAAAATCCTGTAGTAGATGGTAAAAATAACCTCGGATTCTTTCTCTCTCTGTAGCTTTGAGACTCCTCTCATTATCACACACATAGGCTCAATAATAGCAATCATTATATTTAATCCCACTTTAACAATATTTAATTTCACTGTCTATATTATACTTACCATCAACATATTTATATTACTTCATTATAACAAAAAAACTACCACCCAATCTCTATGACCTGCCAAATGAGACATTAGAAAATAAAGACTTGAGAAGTGCTCAGACACCGGGGCCGACTCTCTTACTGTCTGGAAAGCTGAGACCAGCACTTTTCAGGCCAGCCCTAACCTGTTAGAGGATGAGAGGCCTCTAGAGGTGACCAACACACCCTACACAACAGCCACCCAACCGCCACATATGTAAGGGAAGCTACTGACCAGTCCCCAACTATTCCTTCAAATTGCCCCAAAGAGACAAAAAAAACTGTAGACTCTTTGAGTAAAACCAGTTGTGACCAACATAGAGACTACCAAGCTGACATCATACCTTAATAGGAATAAAGAACAACTGTTGTTCTAAGATACTAAACCTCAGGGTAACTAACTATGCAGCAATAGATAACTGATATATACTTTCAAGTAGGTCCCACTCTTATTCCACCTCCCAATTATCCATCTTCACTCCATAGTTAACCAATTACCAGCCCAATGGTTGATCTTTTCTCCACCATCAAAATTATTTTTTTTTACTTTTGTTAAAGTCCTAGATAGTATTACTTAAAAGGATATTTTGAGTAACATCTTTATTATCTCAATGAAGATCTAAAATAATTTATAATTAAAACAAGATAAAAACTTTTTAAACTCACTTGTTCCATATTTTTTAGGACTTTAAAATACTTGACTAATTTGGTAGACTAATATATATTAGTAATATAATTAAAGTGCAATAAATTAAACAACAAATACATAGATTCCTCCTCACTCAGAAAGATCCAAAGATAAGCCTTCTCACTTCCTTCTTTCTCTGGTGCGACATTCTGGTGATATTAAAAAGAAAAGAAAAATTGAAGAGCCTACAGAATGGGAGAAAATCTTTACCAAATGCACCTCAGATAGAGTATTAATCTCCAGAATATGTAAAGAACTAAAAAAACTTAACACCAAAAAAAAAGTAAATAAATCAATCAATAAATGGGCTAAGGAACAGAACAGACACTTCACAGAAGAAGAAATATGAATAGTCAATAAACATATGAAAAAATGTTCAAAATCTCTAGAAATTAGAGAGATGAAAATCAAAACTCTAGAATTTTATCTCACTCCAGTCAGAATGTCAGTTATCAAAAATAGAAGCAACAATACATGTTGGTGAGGATGTGGGGAAATGGTACACTTCTACATTGCTGGTGGGACTGCAAATTAGTGCAACCACTCTGGAAATAACTATGGAGATTCCTCAGAAAACTTAGAATGGAACCACCATTTGACCCAGCTATCTCATTCCTCAGTTTGTGCCCAAAGGACTTAAAATCAGCATACTACAGGGACACAGCCACATCAATGCTTATAGCAGCTCAACTCACAATAGCTAAACTATGGCACCAACCCAGGTGTCCTTCAATAGATGAATAAAGAAAATGTCATATATATACACAATGGAATATTACTCAGTCTTAAAGAAGAATGAAATTATGGCATTTGCCAATAAATGGATGGAGCTGGAGAATATCATGCCAATCCCCCCAAACCAAAAGCTGAATGTTTTCTCTGATATTTGGATGCTAATTCACAGTGGGGGTCGGAGGGCTAGGGAAGAATATTTATTTTGGATTAAGTAGAGGACACTGAAAGGAGGGGATGGGTATGGGAGCAGGAAGGATAGTAGAATGAATCTGACATCATTACCTTATGTATATATATATATATATATATATATATATATATATATATATATATATATATATATGACTACGCAACCAGTGGGATTCTACATCATGTACAACCAGAAGAATAAGAAATTATACTCCATTTATGTATGATGTGTCAAATTGCATTCTACTTATCATGTATATCTAATTAGAACAAACTTTTAAAAAAAAGAAAGAAAAGAAATGATTTCTCAGTAAGGAGCATTTTGAGAATTCATGGACTTGTCTTCCTTTTCCTCCTCTCAAGGAATAAAATGTAACCTTCATTAAATTCACTAGAGATAAAGTGTATTCAAATGTATTCAAGATAAGAAATTGCCACTCTACCTTCTGCCAGCCTCTCCTCCCTTTTTGTAGTCAAATTTGAAGGGTATCCAAATGAGTTGACTCACCTTTCTCCATCAAATCATTTCTTGGGTGCTTTCCAACTTACACCCTGAACACTTAAATCCTTAAAATGACCCTTTTTGCTCTATCAGCAGTCATTCCCGCCACCTCCAAAATCAAAGTTTAGTAAAGTCCTCCAAGAAACAAGCCATAGTCTATGGTTTACATACTCCCAATATTTTAGCAAGTTGCAAACCATTTCTTTAGCCCACAAAACTTGCCTCCTGACTATTCTATCACGGTTCTTTCCTAGATCTAGCAATACAATAAATAGTATATATTCTTGTTCTCAAAATTTATTCACTCCCCTGGCTTCCTGTCTATATGATCTCTCCCTCTTGCACACACTCCCATCAGGTTGCTGTCTGCCATGATATAACAGAAAAGAAGGCCCTCACAAGAGCTGGACCAATAGAGCTGCCCAATCTTGGACTTTCAATCTGCAAAGCTGTAAACTAAATAAAACTGTAAGCCAAATAAAACTATTTTCTCTGTAAACTACCCAGCTTTAAATATTTTATTATAGTAACAGAAAACATAATAATATAAAAAATGGTACCAGGAATGAAGTAGTTGTGACTATACTTGAAAATGTGGACATGGCTTTGGAACTGTGTTATGGACAGAGGTTAGAAGAGATTAGAGGAATAGTCTTGGAAATACCTAAAAAGCTACAAGTGGGATGTAAAATATGATTCTGGTGAGAGCTTAGAAGACAAGGACACTAGTGAATTAGTCTCAAATGGAAATAAGGGTCCTATGGGAAATTGGAGCAAAGGCCATCCTTACTATGAAGAAGCAAACAACTTTGCTGAACGGTATGCATGCCTAGAGCTATATGGAAGGCCAAATTTAAAAGAATGAAAATTGATGGAAGAAACTTCTGAACAACAAAATATGTAGATTACTGCTTGGTTACTTTTTAATTGTTTTTTTTTTTCTCAAATTAAGGAACAAAAAGAAACAAAGGAGAAAGATTTAGAAAATTTTTAGCCTGACCTGAGAAAGAGCAAGAAAAAGCATGTAAGGGTGAGCAAAGCAACCAAGCAGTTGCTAAAAAGATCAGCACTGAAGCTAATCATCAAGATAAGTGCAAAAGGGCCTTATGAGCATTTCAGAAATCTTCAAGACTGCCCTGCTCATCATAGGTCTAATGGCCTGAAAGAGCAGAATTATTTCAGGGAAGGGCCCCAGCATGCTCTCCATAGGGCTAGCGGTCCAGGGCCACCTGAGAGTTCTCTTCCAGTAATGTCTCTGCTGCTGCAACCATGGTTCAAGCTGGTCCAGGCACCATTATACAGGCACCAAACTTTGGTGACATTGTCCCATACTTGTCCCGCAGGTTTGGTAAATGCAAGGGTTATGGGATCATGACAGCTTCCACAGGTATTTCTGCCTGGGAGGCCAGGCAGAAGTTTGCTGCAGAGACAGAGCCAGAACAGAGATCCCCCAATGGGGCTGATGCCTAGTGGAGCCATGAGAGTGGAGCCACAGATGGGATGCCATAAAGGTAAGAACAACCAGCAGTATGCAGTGACACCTTTGGAAAGCCACAGATAAATGCATGCAGCCTGAGAGAGCAACCACATGAGCTGTGACCAGCAAACCATGGAGAGCCTGCCTCACCGCTGTGTGCACCAGGATGTCAGACTTGGTATTATAAGATTTAATGTCTGACCTGCTGGGTTTCAGTCTTTCTAGGGATCTCTGACTTCTTTCTTCTGGCATATGTCTATAAACGTTTATCAAGTGCCCGTCCTGCTATTGTATCTTAGAAGTATGCAATTTGTTTGGTGTTTGTTTTGTTTTTGTAACAGACAACTGGAAAGAGGTTGCCTCAAGTCGCAGATGAGACTTGGACTTTTGAGCAATGCTGGAATGAGCTAAGAAATAAGGACTAAGCAAATAAAATGAATGCATTTTGCATTAATAGGAAGGCATGAATCTCAGGGCTGAATGCTATGGTTTGGATATAATTTGAGTGTGTCATCCAAAAGTTCTAACATCGAGTGAAAACATCTGCAAGAGTAAAACACACTTGTCCTCTCTCTTTACCTCCCTACTTATTCCTTCCTAGGGAAAGAAATTAATTATATTATTATGAACTTTGGGAGAAAAAATAATGAGCCAACTTGGCTGTCTACTTTGGGCCTGATTTAATCAAATATGCTGGTCTAGGGAGGGCAACCAGGAGGCTGACTCTCAACTATGAAGTAAGCACAGTGGGACAAGTTCTATTCCTATTGTTATGGTTTGGATAGAAGTTATCCCCAAAAAGCTCCTGTGTTTATGCAGGAATATTCAGAGGTGAAATGATTAATTTATGAAAGCTGCAACCTAAATGGTCCATCCTAGATTAGATGGACTTAGTGGATGGTAATTGTAAGCAGGTGGGGTATGGCTAAAGGAAGCAGGTTACTGCAGGCATGCCTGGAAAGGGTTCCTCTTCTCTGCAGTTCTTCTCCCCCTCCCCACCTGCTTCCTGGCAGACATGAACTGAAAAACTTTCCTCCACTGGGCCCTTCTCCCATGATGTCCTGCCTCATCGTGGGCCCAGAGCAATGGACTCAGCTAGCCATGGACTAAACCTTTGAAACCCTGAGCTAAAATAACTTTTCCCTCTTTTAACTTATTCTCATCAGGTATTTGGGTCACAGGGACAAAAAGCTGATGGATATACCCCACAAGGAGAGTGATGTTATATTGAAAAATAAGTTAACGAAAGATTGTTAGAAAGCCCACTGTGGTGGCACATCAAAGCAATGTATTCTGATTCAATTTTTATTTAAAAAACAAAACAAAACAAAACCTTCTCCTTATCTCCAGAGTCACCCTGCATGAAGGCCCTGGCCCAGGGGACAAGAAGGGATTAAACTCAGTTTAGCTTCCACACACCGACCCAGCACCCCAGGACTTTTCTTCTAATTCATCTACCCAGAAGAAATCTCTCTTTACAATTATCTTCCAAAAGTGGGTGTTTTCTTCTAATCCATATGCCCAAAGGAAGAAAAGGAGATAGCTTTACTAATTCAAACAAAAGCAATAGAGGCCTGTTAACTTCCAAGGTTTGACTTCTGTGTCTATCTCTCTATTGGTTCCCAATTTAAAAATCAAAGCAGAAAATCATTTATTTAGTTCCTAAAACTCTAACTCTGCTATATACCAGATATTGTGCCAGGAATTACGGGGGAAAGGGGGTAGCAGAGCAGTAGGACAAAGTCCTTGACTTAAAAAACTTATTGTCCTAAATTCCCAAAGTCCTCAGAATAACTGTTAGTTTGCTCCTTTGTTTTGGGTTTTGTATAGAAAAAATGATGTAGACCACTGCCTGAAAGTGTGTGAATTCTTAGCTCTCCTTACAGGGAGGGTCTTGAGGGCTATTTTGGACATGGGTTGAATTGTATGGTCCAAGAATTAGAGCAGAGCATGGTGGTCACAAGGGTGACAGTGCTGTGACAGATTAAAACATCCCACAACCATAGGCAAAGAACATAAGATCCTCAACTATAGGTATAACAATGTTTGCTTTATCCATGGACAGCGGCACAAGGCAGGAAGGACGGTGGCACTCCTAGAGTGAGGCTCAAGCACGCCTGCCCAACAAAGGCGTCCGTACCTGCTACAGGTTAGCTCCTGTCCTGCCCCCTGGAGAAGCTTCCTATGTTCTATCCTCCCAACCCCATTCCCAGCTCTGAGATTCTGACTATGAACCTACATGCCCATCAGTGTTAAAAACTACCAGACATTCCTGTCAACTGCAAGGCTGGGTGTATCAAGGAACAATTTCCCAATTTTGTTATTCTCTCCTAACAGCTCTAGCTTCAGGGATGCCTAAGTCTACTCCTGTCCATGTAGGAAAAGCTCTAAATGAAGGAAATAAGAGGAACAGGACCCAATACAGCAGAAAGACTATCATTTGAAGGTTACCAAATCTGAAGCAGCCAGAAGCAAATTACAAGGTAGAATAGACTGCTAGAATTCAGGACCAGACAAAAGAGAGACCAAACTGAAATCTAGGGATAAATGAATGGGGAAAGGGCAATGAAAGAAAGAAGATCCTGAGTAATACCTAGAACACATTAGAGAATATTAGATACCTTTTTAAATTTCCTTTCTTATGCAAATAAATTGATCTAGCATAAGGAGTTGAGAAGATCAACTAAACAAAGAATAACTTACAATAACAATCACCTAATAGCACCCTAATAGCACCCTCCCTCATAGACATTATTTGCTTTTTCTTTTTGAGACAGAGCATGACTGCCAGGCTACTTACAAAATTTTAGCCTCAAAAGATTATTCTGTCTCAGCTTTTCATAACTGGTGCTATAGGCATTGGTCACAACACCTCACTTAATAACATTCTGTGGCCAACATTATTATAAACAAACCCATTAGCAAACACTCATTGACAATCATCCTAGCTTTTCTTTAATTTTTTGAGTGTTTATAATATTTTTCTATATTTTTACATAATGGTGGGATTTGTTGTTACAGTTTGTACATGCACACGATATAACTCTAATCAGCCAACATCTTCTCCAATGTTATTTTCCTCTCCTCCTCCCTCTCCCAGGTCCTGTTCCACTACTCTACAGATTTCCCCTCAATTTTCATAAGATTGTGGGCCCCCCCTCACACACACACCTTTCTTTTCTTTTTCCCACTTTAGCTTCCACGTATGTATAAAAGAAAATATACAACACTTGACCTTGTGAGTTTGGCTCATTTCACTCAATATAATCTTCTCAAGTTTCATTCATTTATCAGTAGACATAATTTCATTACTGTTTATGGCTGAGTAAAATATCACTTTGTAGATATAGCATATTTTTCTTTACCAGTTCATTCACTGATAACCTTAGCTGATTCTGTCTTTTGGCTTTTGTGAATTGTTCGATAAACTGGGGTAAGTATTCATTTGAGTCTTTTTTCTTTTGATTAGCTTGGTCAAGGGCTTATCAATCTTGTTTGTCTTTTCAAAGAACCAACTCTTTGTTTCATCTTGTATCATTTTTATTCTCAATTTCATCGATTTTAACTCTGATCTTTATTACTTTCTTGCCAACACTGATTTTGAAATGGATTTTTTTGTTTTCCAAGGGACTTAGAACACACCATTAGGCTGTTTATTTGGGATCTTTCTGCTTTTCTTATGTTGGCATTTATAGCTTTGAACTTTTCTCTCAGAATTACCTTCATAGTGTCTCAAAAGTTCCAATATGTTATATTACTATTCTCATTTGATTCTAAGAATTTAAAAATTTAAATTTTTTTAAATTTCTCCCTTGATTTCTTCTATCACCCATTCATCATTCAAAAGTATATTGTTCAATCTCTGTGTACCTAGTTTCTGGAGGGAATTTTTAGTGTTCATTTCTAATTTAATTGTAATCAGATAAGATGCAAAGAATTACATCAATTTTTTTTTTATATTTGCTAAGAGTTGCTTTGTGGCCTAAAACATGGTCAATTTTGTGAGAAAGCTCCAAGAACAACTAAGAATAAAATGTATTTGGTTGGATGAAAGTGTTGTAAGTGTTGTTGGATAAAGTATCCTAGAGATGTCTGTTAAGTCCATTTGATTCATAATATTTTTAGGTCCAGAGTCTTTACTGAATTTGTGTCTGGGTGACCTATATGTTGGTACAAGAGATGTATTGAAATCATCCAGTATTATTGTACTGTGTCTGAATCTTTAATTTGAATAGTGTTCATTTTATGTAATTAGGTGCACCCATGTTTGGAGTCATAAATACACACTATCATTGTATCTTCTTGTTGGATTGTAACCTTTACCGGTATGAAGTGATCTTCTTAGTCTCTTCTGATTAATTTTGGCTTTAAGTCTTCTTTGTTGGATATGAGAATAGCTACTCCTGTTCAGGCTCCATTGACATACTATATTGATTTTCATTCTTCAACTTTCAATCTATCTTTGCCTGTAAGGTGAGTCTCCTGCAAACAACATATAATTGGGTCTGGTTTTCTAATCCATTCTGCAGTCTATGTCTTCCTTGGAGATTTGAGACTTTTACAATGTTATTATAGAGAGTTGTTTATTAGTTACTGCCATTTTTATTTACTTCTAATGTTTAATCTGTCCTGTTTCTCATTTGTTCAACTATTTTTCAAATGAGATTTATCCATTTATGAGCTCTAGGGATTATTTTCTAATTTCTACTGTGTGAAGTATTTCTTTGAGTAATTTCTAAATTAGCAGCTTAGTAATTGTGAATGATTTTACTATCTGTTTATCTTAGAAGATTTTTATTTATTTTTTGATTCTGAAGGATAGTTTTCTGGATATAATAATCTTGATTAAGAGTTACTTTCAGTTCTTGAAATGCATGATTCCAAGTCCTTTTGAATTTTATAGTTTGTGA